TTTCTGTATTAGAATGGGGTTAAAACTCACAGTTCTCAGGGCATTAGAAGATTTCTAGCATATGTTCTGGGAGTACTGCCTTGGGTTTGTTTGGGTTTTTTCCTTTCTGAGAGTAATTCTTATACCATTAATCTTACAAATCAACTTTTCCACGTAAGTTGTTGTATCTGGAAGAAAAACACCAGACTTAGGATTTTATTATTAAATATTGCTAGAAAAATATTAGTTAAACTGGTTTTCTGTATTACAGAGATGCAGCAATGGCCCTGGACCAAATGGATGAGCCCAGTGCTTGCTGCCGTGCCTGCTCTCCTGCTTGGGAGCTGCAGTTCTGCAGGAGCTGTGAAGCCCCTCTCAGCAGGACTTTCCTCTGCTGTGAACTCTGGCAGATTGTGTGAACTGGAAAATGGTCCAATTGCAGCCTCTTTGCACAGTCACTAATGGAGTGTCTGGGAAGCCTGGTTCGTGTCAGGCAGGGCTGTGCTGGTACCAGAGCTTAGGACTAGCACAATTGTGTCAGGGGATGCTGTGGTCTTTTAAGACAAAACAAACTTCTGAGCAGTAAACCTTTGCTAGGCAGTAAAAATCTTGGGACAAACAGGTCAGTCCACAGGGCAGTCAAAACCATCAGCACTTGGGCAAAGCACTGTAAATCACTTGCCCTGCTCCATGGAGATCATCTGCTGTGAGCAGCTCATGTCATTGGCCAGGTCTGGAGTCTTGTTAGTCCAGCAGCATCCACCGTGCCTCTGAAACATGGGACAGGGGGAACAGACAGCCAGTGTTGAAAAATTAGATGAAATTAGCATGAATTAACTGTGATGAGACATTTCTTCACATGTAAATTTGGGACACTGAGGAAATTAAAAACTTCTCCATCCTCTACCACAGCCCCAGGCAGGGAGAGGTTTCTGATGCAGGCACAGCATCCAGCCCTCCAGCTTCACATGACGTGTGAATGTAAAGATTAACTGGAAAAAGCTGAATTTGACAAAGAACTTGCTCTCAGCTGCTTATTCTCTGAGAAAAAAATCCTTCAAAGAGGTGTGTGAGGTCACCCCCATGACCTGCCTATTCCTCACTCTTTTCATTAACTGCAATTTATCCTGCAGTAACTTGCTTAGATCAAGGCAAAACCCTGCCATTAGCTTTCCCTTGTTGTACTAGGGCTGAAACCCAGCCAGGTCTACCTGCTCATCACTGCTGGGCGCTGCAGAGGGTTCCCTGGGAGAGGGATGGATGTCAGTGCCTGGGGTAGGACACTTGAGCACCTGCTGACCTGCCAGAGCTGAGCTGGCAGTGACCACAGAGGTTGGGAGAGCATGGCTCAGCTGTGCTCCCAGGTGCACTTATGGCTTCCCAGGTTCTCCTGTTCCCGGGAAGTGTCTCTGCCTTTGCCACTGCCAACCTTTGTTTTGTCTCTGCTACTGAGGGGCTTTGGGCCTGGTGGCTCTGCAGTACCTGGTGCTCAGGTCCCTCAGTAGCAGCACCAGCCCCTGCCACATGCTGGCCCCACAGCCTCTCCACAAAAGCTTTGAAGGATGCTTACACTATTAATGAGGTATATTTATACCTGTTTATCTCTGTCAGTTGGGTGGAAAATTGCCAGATGTACCGTTTGCCTTCCTTACACAGCCATGTCCTGCATCATCTGGATGAGTGCCAGGGAAAACCTCATTGCTCCTTCGTGGGCTGGGTGTTTGTGGGATCTGCCTTGGTGACCACAGAGAGCAACACCCTGGAGGCAGGTGTCCATATGAGACACATCTCTGTCCCACACTGCTCTGGACTTAGCCTGGGAGGAAAAGGAGCGCAGGAGCCGGGAGCTCCTCGCTGAGGTCCGAGCAGCCAGGGCTGCCGTGGTCAGGCACTGCAGTCGGGGAGAGCAGTGCCCTGCCCCGGGGCCAGCAGGTCCTGCAGATCCTGCAGCTGGACTCCTGCAGCTGGACTCCTGCAGCTGGACTCCTGCAGCTGGACTCACCACGTGCCACCCACCCTGCTTTGGAGGCATGTTTACCTCCTGTGAGGGGTGCCCTGCTGGGGATGCCCTGCAAACAGGAGAGGCTGCTCAGAGCTAGCAAATATCCTTTCCAACAGAGAACAAGGCAGAAAGATAAGAATGGCTTAAAAAGAAAGAAATTGACTCCAAATAAAATGTTTTTCCTCATTTCCCACGATACAGTGAAATTTCTTCATGGGCGGATAGTCAGAGTAGAGTCCATTACACTCCACACTTTTTGCCTTGAAACATAAATAGCTGCATCTCATATAAGTGTTTGTTATGAGGAAAAGCATGTGCCTAGAAAAGTTAGACATTAAACCATTATTTCATGCAGAAAGATATGCTAAAGGGAGAGGATTACTTACTATATTAATTCTGTCTTTCAGCTACCCGTACGTCTCTCTGCACATAATGACTTCAGTCACAAATGAGGTGCTGCAACAAATCCAGTTCCCTCCATTCCCATTTCCTTGAAGTCTGTGCACACAGGGACCCTCCCTCTGGACCCTGCTCCTTCTGGGCAGTGGGACAGCAGAGGTGAAAGCAGGAATCTGTTAATCTGTAGATACATCTGCCAGCCTCTGTCCTTGGACAGGGTACATATGGGCAAGTGCTGGTATCTGGTGTTAGTTCTTATATTGTAGCTAAAACCTTCAAAGTATCTCTATTGGTGGTATAAAGTAATTGTGATATGACCCTCAAATATTTCTTCCTGTACTGGAAGTTAGAAGAGCTTCTTAAAGGGCACCAAAAATTTTCTAATCATATCTTTTTCCCAGCAAGTGACTCATAGAGGGAGAGTTTCTGAGGTCAGCAAAACAAAAACACTCCAAGCACAGGGCCCCAGGAAATCTGGGATGTGAAAGATTGTTTAGCTGTTTCTGCCTAGGATGTCACAGGCTGTTGGCACAGGGTTCCAATGCCACAGTGCTGTGCCTCAGAGGCAGTGCCCCAGGTCAGGGGGATTCCTGCTGGCCAAGCTGTAACAGGTCACTGCAGGGTGGCAGCTAAATAACCCCCACCCTGCCATCCCCCTGGGCTCAGGTGTAAAGACAAACACCATGTCCCACAGGAAAGCTGCTGCTGGATCTCTCTCCTGACATTCTGGGCCCTGTGTTCGCTGGCACTGGTGCAGAGACTGCTCTGAGCTGCAAGCAGGAATGAGAAGAGCAGCGAGCAGCAGGGCCTGATATCACCATCTGTCAGAGCCCATCTCGGGCACAGAGAACCCAAAATGGTAGCATTTGGGAGTAAGGAGGGGGTCACAGAACTGCCTCCTTGGATAGCTGGAGAGCGGGCTGAGCTGTTGAGGAGCCTGGCTGACAGATTTCCTTGGGAGTCCTGAAGATTTCCTTGGGAGTCCTGAAGGGCACGGAATTCCTCCAGGGAACTACAGGCCTGTCAGTCTGACCCTGGTGTTGAGGACGCTGAAGGACCAGATCATTGTGAGTACCATCACACAGCACATACAAGACAACCAACCAACTCGGGATCAGGCCCAGTTTAGATTGGATAATAGGGAAAAAATTTCTACATGGAAAGGTTGCCCAGCACAGTGGTAAAATCACTCTCCCTGGAGGCATTTAAAAGCCATGTAGATGTGGCACTTGGGGACATTCCTTACTGGTGGCCTCAGCAGTGCTGGGGAATGGTGGGACTTAATGGTCCTGGAGACCTTTTCCAACCTAAACAATTTCATTATTCTATGATGCTGTGTAGTAAGTCATCCTTATTCAAAGGCTCTGTTTGAAATCTGGCATCAGCAATACAGAACATGTTGCATCTTTGCTGGTACCTCTTCAATCTGGTTTGCAAGACATCCTGGAGGACGTGACCTTGGAGGCAGGCAGCATATCGAACCTGCATAATCCGAGCATCTCTGCACCAGTGGCAGCCTGTTGGGTACCGGGCAGTTAATAAATAATGAGGATGTCAAAGATGACAGCAGGAAAGTGGGAGCAGGCAGCAGCTTTGCAGCAGCTCCCTGACAGCCGCTTGGCAACCTGCAATGACGAGGCGTGCGCCGGACTCATCCCGGCTGATGGGGCACGGGCAGCCCCGGCTCCCCGGGCACGGCCGTGGGGCTCAGCCCCGCTCGGGGCAGGGATGGAGGGGCTGCAAGAGGCTGCTGGGTCCGCACAGCAGCGAGTGGAGTCCTGGTGTTTGCGGGAGGAGGGTGGGCGCCGGCCCCGGGGCTGCTCCTGTTCACAGGTGTTTTCTTCAAGGGCTGAATTACATCACACCACAAATCACATATTACAAACCTGAGGTTCCTAATTGATCTTCTGATGGCTTTTTAAATATCTGGTGAGAAGGGGCTGCTTTCCAAACAGCAGAATCTACACCAAAATGATCTTGATTTGAATAAGTATTCCATCCTTGTTTGGTAAATACACCCAGTGTTAATGGTGCTTAATGGTGCCTGTAATTGGTGTCTAAAGTTATTTAAAAGTAAATTTACTAGAAAATAATTAGCAATTTTATAGTTCACTACTTCCTAATTTTGTCGATAAAAGTTTTTCCGTGGTTTTTATCAGATGACACAATAGGACCGTGCTGTGAAATAACCTCTTTTCAAACAAGCAGGAAATTGTGCACACAAAATAAGATAAAAAAATTTTCCTCCTAATTTCTTTGCCTGGCAGCCAGCCCTCTCTCAGCCCTCTCTTTTTATTAGCCATTGACTTATCCTTAGTCAGCAGCAAGTGAAATCTCTGAGGCATTACTCAGGGATTTGTTCTTTGTGACCTTGTGAGGTGCACCCCAAACTGAGAGGTCAGTGAGGAAAGCTCTCCCCTACAGCAGGACCTGCAGGCTGGCCCAGGTGCTCCTGCTCCTGCTCCTGGCTGCAGCGAGTGCCTTCTGCAGCCCCTTGGGCTGTGGGACAGGTCACAGCAGCCAGCTGGGCTGGCAGGTCACGGCCAGCATTGTCCTCTCGTGGCTCCCGCTCGTGGGGTCTTGGTGCTGCTGGGGGGCCAAGAGAAACGGAGCCGAGAAATGCAGCTGCTACAATGATTTATTGTTTAGTGCTGGGGGTTCCAGGGTTCAGTTCAGGACAGTCACATCGTTCAGGTACAGAGACACTGACAGACAGAGACGCGCTGGGGAGGCAGTGACAGCACAGCAAGTAAGGTTCAGAACAGACCCACTCTCCATTTCCAGTCTCTGAACCAGAAAGTACCAGCTTTTCCAGAACAATGAATCACTCAGTCTGTGTATAAAATTAAATATAATTTATGCTTTGCTAATTGAAACCAAATACAAAATTCAATTTCCTGTGTATTCTAATGCTGACATTTGAATAGTTTTTTTAAAAAAAGTGTTATTAACCTGACTCTCATTTGGCAGGCCTTTCTCTGGCCAGATAGAAAACAATCCCCCCATCCATCCCCAGCTGCAGTGGGGCATACATGGGGTGCATTTCCAAAGAACGAAACAAAATAACAGCACCCCCACCCCAGTCCCCATGCCCCCAGCCCACGGCAGGGTGACTGGCACGTCCCTGCTCCCTCCCAGCAGTGCTGGTAGCACCACGGTTGTACCTGGAGAGAGGGCTGGGGGGCTGGAGGGTCCTGTTGCACCATGCTGAGTGGTTGGTGTCCATGGAGCAGGCACTCAGGGCAGGGGAGCAGGGTCCCCTCTCTCTGTGGGCACCCATCAGCTCCTGCAGAGCTGCAGATGGCGTCTGGTATAAAAAATAAACCTCTGAGTATATGGCAGAAATAAGGGGAGTGAATGTGGGGGGTGCAGCGCGTCCCCAGCCCACGCAGGAGCCCCCGTCCCCGGAGCTGAGCCCCTCCATCAGGCAGCCCCAGTGCTCAGCCCCACACCATGCTGGGGTGCAGCACTCTGCAGACAGGCTGACATCCCCAGACATCCCTCTGCTGAGGGGGAGCTGGGCCGTGAGCCCCTTGTCCTCCATTGAGCAATTTGCACCAAATTATGCAACAACAGGTTTCATGTAGGACCTGCTCTGATATTTTAATAACGTGTGAAACACCGTAAGATTATTCTTGTTATATACTTCCAATTTTCCTGTAGTAATTTGGAAGTTTGTGGGTTTGTGAAAACTGTGCTATATCAGGAGCTGTTTTTAAATCTGACCAGGCTGATGGGAACTGACGTGATGCCAGCAGGGTCTTCGCAGTGCCCCTCCAGCATGGGCCACGTAGTAAATGGTCCAAATGGCTTCAGCTCTTCTCATCCAGTCCAAGGCACCGGCACCATTTCATGGCATCATGAGCCACACGACAGGCCCTGGAACCCTGAGCAGGGTCAGCTTGTCACCCTTGGAATGCAACAGTGATTTCATCTGCTTGGTGCAGCTGTAGGGAGTTCTTTCACCTTAATCAGAACCGAGTCCTGGTCCTCCCACAGCAACCCCATCCTGCACCTCTGCTGGGGACCTGCCCAATGGGAGGGGGCTCTCATGTGGCTACACCCCAAGTTGGAGGTAGTCTCAGCCCTCATCAGAGCAAAGAGAGCTGCCAGCAGTATTCAAGTGCCCTCAGAAATCACCATGCGAGGGATTGTTTCAGCAGCTCTGCATTTCACCTTTGCTTCCCCTCTGCCTAGTTTCCTGCAGCAGTGGAGGTGGAACTGTGCAGTTGTGTGCAAGAGCTGCTCTTGTTGTCTGCTGGGCCCAGGAAACAGCTCTCATGACACTGGGGGATTGAGTAGGGGTGTAAGTTTATTCTATAGTTTCTGCCAGGATTTGCAGATTTGGGTGACTTGGTCATTTCCACTAGAAATGCACAGGTTTTGTGCGCTGAGCAGCACTTGCCCTGGGAATTAATTGCTTTTTTTTTAATTCTGAAGTAAGATGAAGGCTGCTTCCCTGTTCTGCGACCCCAGCTGTCCACAGCAAGCAGCAGGGATTGCGTTTTCAAGATGCAAATGAATGGCAGTGCCAGGGGTCCTGACTGTCCCCAGGTGTCCCCCCTGCAGCCACCCCATCAGTCCCTGGCAACACCTGGCTCCAAACCATGGAGCAGGGCATGGCACAGCCTGGCCAGGAGGTGCTGTGTGGACACATGTGGCACCACACCGTGCCTTGGCATCCTGGCTGGGCAGTGGGAGCCTGGCTCACTCCTGGGGAGCCTGGGAATGTTCTTTCAGCTTCCAGGAGGGTGGAGGCCTGGAGGGACCCCAGTGCCAATCTCACTGAGCTTCTCAGCAAAGAAGGAACTACTCTCTTCCGACAGTGGAGGGGCACCCGTCAGCCAGAGGAGAATTGAGGCCAGGTGTCTGTGGCACTTGGTAAATTCTAGTTTTAGTGCAAGAAGTAATTGAAACGTTTGGTGCAAATGAAGTTCCTGTACATAGTTCCTTTGCAGCATAACTGGCTTTATTCCTTCCACACACAAAGACCAGTGTGCATATGAGTACACAAGGCCTGAATTTACCAGATCAGATGCTGCTGTTTGGGCAAAACTAAAGTGCAGGGCGGGAGAAATCAAATCTATGGGCTTGTCCCAGTGCTGGGTTTTGGGAGCCACCCTCTTGCCCAGCTTGCCATGGCACGAGGTCTGGTCCTGCCTGCCTGGCTGCAAGGGGGACACCAGCAGCGAAATGGTGACACAAAGTGCCCCATCACCCTGAGGATCCCTGCTTCCCCTCCTCCTCCTCCTCCCACCTGCCCCTGACCCCCAGTGGCACCGTGGGGAGAGCAGCCCAAGGTGACAGGCCACTAGAGTTCCTGAACTTCTGCTGCAGCCCTGACAACACAAGAGCCTGCTACACTCAGGGCTGAGCCTCTAGCCCCAAGAGAGTTTTGGGTCTGAAATGATGATTCACATCCCAAAAACAAAAAAAAATTTTTCCTGATTTTGTGGTTCTACTTATCACTTTCTTCCTGCTCCCACTGGAAATCTTGGCCTGTCATTTGGTAAAACATGACATTGAAGGGTTTGTAAAACTTCCGCAGTCTGTGGATGACGTCTGGGTCTATTTTGGGGTGAGTTCGACCCTTGGACTTGCCCAAACACCGGGGAGCACTGCTGTCCTCTGGCTTCTTTAGACAGGGAAACCCCTTCGTTTTATTAAAATAAAAATGCTTCTCTGTCACAATCCTCTTGAGGCCTAAGAAGTCCTGGACCTTGGCCATTTCCCCAGCTGGGTCAGTGATGAGCCTCTCACCACTGACAAACAGGATCTGGGAGAGGGGGAAGTACTGAAGCCAGTTTTCCAAGTGCAGGGCATAAATCCCAATGCGGATAGCACTCCAGGAGGCATCAATCAGCCCCAGAGTCCTGTTCTTGAAGGCCAGCACCTCAAAGGTGGGGATCTCTGGCTTTTTGGAGAGAGTCTGTGTGTAGTCAGAGATAGCCCGGGTGACCGGGTTCCGCACCACCACGATCAGCTTCGTGTCCTTGGCCATGGAGTGAATGCGCCTGGGGGCCTCATTGGTCACAAAGTAGCTGGGGGTCTTCTCCATGGTGATCTGCCCATCCAGCGTCTTGGGCATCACGTTCCTGTGCAGAAGCAGAGCAGGGGGTTAGCGAGGGCCAGGCAGGGGTGGGCACCTTGTGTCGGTGGGACATGCAGGAGGAGGGATGCTGTCACTCCTGTGTGACCCTCAGACAAGTCTTTCTGGCTTTGTTTCTTCTCAGCCCCTGGCCATGGAGGGCACCCAAAATGTAAAGTCAGCCTTGGTGACACATTATGCAGACAATTTGCCATAGGCGGATGTAGCCCAAAGCTAATTGACACTAAACCTGCACAATACCTGCCTGTTCAGAAGCCATCTGCTCCCATTTGCTCAATTAAGCCTTTTCACTCCAGAGCCGTGTGCGGAGCGGCGCAGCTCGGATTACACAGGACCTTTTTGTTATGATGACATGCTTTTAAATGTCTCAGCTAATAAAACTTAATACAGAATAAGATCCCTTGCTTCTAGTACAATAATTAAATTTATTTACTATCTTGTGTGTGAGAAAGAATGACTTTTCTTTTATCTCTAATTCACATGCTCTGTCAATAATTAATTGCTGCTGGGTTTTGAGCTTCCTGTGCAAGCACTTTTATTAGCCAAAAGGAATTTGCCTACTGGATAAATTAGGATGTAGCAAGATTTTCCTGGATAGCGTATTACCATACTGTAAAATGAAACTGCAGTGAGATAGCAGTTATGTCTAAGAAAATGAAGAGGTAAATTCTTGTCCCAGTGCCACCAGTTAAAGATTATCACAGCCAGCCAGAGGGTTTTAAGTGATCACAAAATCACAGCATAAGCTGAATAAGAAGGGACCCAGGAGATGTCCCCTGCAAGAGCGTCACAGCCTCGTCACACGTGTTGTGCTGGGGCTGGAGGCTGTGCCACACCTGCCTGCTGCCCACACACAGCCACAGTGCCAAGGATGAGGAACAGGGTCGCTGTCCTGGGGAAGCGCTCACAGCACTGCAGAGATCTCCTCTGTCAGACAGGAGGGTGGCAATGCCCATGGCCTTGCAGGATTATCCCTTTGTATTGCAACTATTTTTAGTGCAAACATATGGCGAGGAAATAACGTGAATAGGCTTGAAATGGCTCTGTGAGAGCACCTTGGGCAGCGACAGGCACAGTAATGCTGACGTCAAACTGCTGGGCCCCAGGAAGACCCACTGCAGGAATAACGTAGCTGAAGCCTGGAGCAGAAGCAGATGACAGGCACAGCCCGCTGGATGTGCCTGTCAGTGTCACCTCGGATTTGACTGCTAAAGGCATCAACTGGCTTTAACACCCCTGTAATTTGTGTATTCACTGCTGGTGCCACACAGCCCACCAGGCTTGTTCTGCTGAGGTGCTTCTGGGGGTGATGAGGGGTCTCCTGCCAAGGCCAGAGTGAGGGTGGATTTGGTGCTGCCACAGGGCTGCCAGTGTCCTCAGCATTTTGGGTGAAGAGGCTGGCATTCCTGTGGCTGTCCCAGTCCTGTTGCAGAACCTTTCCTGTTGAAGAGTGTCTGTCTAAGTAGCAGCAATGCGGCCTGCAGGGCTGCAGGACTCCCTGTCTCAGGGCCAGCATGCTCTATAGGGAAGGCCATCCCTCTGGCATCAGGTCCTGCTGGAGCTGCCTTCCCAAAGGCAAGGTGCCTGCAAGCCTGTCTTCTTCCCAGTGCACTCCGGTGCTTCACGCTTGCCTTGCATCAGCCGCTTGAGCAGCAGCGACACAAAGGGAGCAAGGATTAGTCAGAACGATGCATCCTGAGGTATTTATTCCTTTAAGAAAACCCTGAACAAATTAAGAGGGATAGGAGCACTTGGGGACTGCAGATGCTGCAGAATTACAGACCAGCTTCCCTGGGGAATCCAGTACCTGAATTTAACAGCCCTGTGGGAAGGAAGCAGATTTTCTGGCTATGCACATCACAGCAAGACCCACAGTATGATCAGAGGTGAGCCCTTGGGTGCCCACTGCTGTACTGCAGTGGTGGAGGATTGGGAGGGGCTGCCAGCAGCAGTGCTGCTCCATGCCCACTCTCACAGCCCATGCTATCAGCTGCTAGGGGAGGATGGGATCGACCCACCTGCAGCAAGAGCCACCATGGTGTCTGTTCCCCATGCCCCAGGGGGCATCCCCATTTGGTTTGGTTTGTATAGAACAAACACACTGGGGATTTATAAAAGAAGCGTGAACAAACATGTTAATTACAACTTCCCCTTCAGATGATGTTACCACAATAAACAGGAGCCAAGAAATTGCAGAGCTAATAATCTGGAAATGTTGCCACATTTAAGGACTGTGTTCAACTCCATGCACAATAAAGACAAATGGATGGATGGGCTGGCCCTGAGGAGAGAAAATGGGGAAGCCCTGATCAAGGAATAGAGGAGGAGAAGCAGACTCAGATTTTGCTGTACAGGTTTAAGCAGTGTGATAGTTTGGCATTTAGGAAAAGCTGGAAGCGATAGTGTGTCCTCAAGACACCTTGGCCCTGCAGAGCCTGGAACGACTGTGGCTCTGGGACAAACATACAGAAAGGCTTTACCCCAAACTCTCCTGTGTTTGAGTCCCTCCCCACGTGCTGCCCTGCTGGGGCAGGCACTGAGCTACACTGCTCAGGTGAAGAAAGCTTGAGCCTGCAGCCCGAGGGTCAGGTGCCCTGCGTGCGGCCGGTGGCGTGTGATAACTGCTGCCAAACTGCGTGGCACACAGCACAGCCGGCTCCTGCTGCTGGGAATAACAAGGGTGTTAAAGCTGGAGCAACCGAGCCTCTGGCACGGCAGGAATGCTCCTCAGAGCAGTTAACCTTCACAGAGCTGCTGCCATGTGCTGTGCCCTAATTGCGTGTGTGCCGACGGAATTCTAACCAGCTCTGTGTGTGCAGGCAGAGCAACGCTCCGCTCCGCTCTCCTGCAGTGGCAGATGCAGAGCTGTTTGCAGCGTGGGGCTAAGGCTTTGCTCCCTCTGAGCACACCTTGGCCTTCCCTGCAGTGTTTGTGTCCCTTTGAGGCCAGTCTGGTTGCTGAAGATGCACGGCTGCGTGGTGACCGCACCTCTCGAGCCTCCACAGGGCACTGCAGGGGGAGAAGGGTTGCAATGGGACACGTCTACTCCTGGCTCTGCCACCGCTGAATCCCCACCTGCACCTTTTCCCTCTCCGTCACTGCTCACCTGAAAAAGGGGAGCAATGACAACAATCCCGTGGCAGGAGCTCCGCTGACACAGGCATGAACAAACCCCCTGCTCCCTGACGGGAGGGGCATCATCCCCTTGTGCTTGTTGGTGCAGCATCACTACACAGTACAATGTGAAAACTGAACTGTCATTGCTGGCCTTGGACACAGGAATTACCTCGTCCTCCAAGCAGATGACACAATATATATTATTGAGTACTTGCTGGGGCTTTTGATGTTTCTCTTCTTTCCTGTTCATTCCCCAGTGCTGTGCCCAGAGGCACAGAGATTGCTCTGTGCACCCCCAGCACCCCTGAGCTGCACAGGGGCTGGCTGCTGTCACTCCTTCAGGTTTCTGCTCTGTGCATGGCAGGCCCCAGCCACTGTGTGTGGACAGGACAGCTGGCTCCCGCCTGCCCTGGCTAGGAGCAGAGGCCAGCTCTAAGCTGTCATTGGGAAAATGTGCTGGAGTAATTGTTCTTAACTGCTGGCTTCAAACAAGCTCTTTATTTTCAAAGGATACATTTTATAAATTTGTGAATTTGCATGTTGCCAAAATCCCCTTGTGGTTTATTTAAATCCAGATTATCTTGTTTATTCCTTCAGTCACAGCTGTCATTTATCTCTGTGTAGGCAGCTTGTTCACGATGTTGCAGGTTTCCTGCAATCCCACTCAAAAGGCGTCTTTGTTAACTGTATTTTCATGTTCTCAACAACAGAAAAAAGTTCATAGCAACTCCTAGGGTTTGGGGAATCACAGAGGAGGACAAGGATTGGCACGGCTGCCATGGAAAGAGGAAATGGCCAGGTGCTGCAAGTGTCACCTGCCCACAGAGCTCCTCTCTACTGCTCCTTGGGGTGGAGCAAACAGCTGCTTTTGTCTTCTGCAAAGACAAACATGAATCCTTTTCCTTTTTATTATTAACACATTCCAGTATAATTGCTTGAGCTGTCAGCTGTGACCTGCCAGTAATTCAGCAGGCGTGGGACTTTCAAGGGGAGAGCGGCATTGCAACTGAGCCCACAGTACGCATTAAAAGCAGAACCCATTTGCTATAAGCCCCTGAGTCAAATCTCTTGTTGAATTTGTTCAAACATAAATTTACAGCTGAATTTACATAGGTTTAATGTTTTATAATCTTTTTGGTCTGTGAATCTATATTCAAGAGTGAGTGCATTAGCTCAGAAATATTGTGCTTAACGCTGAAAATAATTTTAATCTCTCCAAAGTCCAATCCTTTGCACATCACTAAACCTCAGAAGCCAATCCCTTCTAATAAGAGACACAAAACTTGCATCTGTCGCTGCCTAATAGATTCACATTGCTCTAATTCAAACAGCTCACATATGTCTGTTAAAAAACACTAAAAGCAAATTATAAAGCTCTTTCAAAAAAGCGGGTGCCAGTTCAGACTGGGGGCCAAAGGAAAACAAACCATCCCCAGGAAACTCACTGGAAGAGTTTAATGATTAGGAATCTGGAATGATGGCTAGGAGATGAGGGTGAAGCACCCCCCTCTGCGTGTGACTTGTGTTCTGCTTTTTGCAGGGCTTATAAGCCCAAATTAATGGCTGCCTGTACCATTGGTTTCCCTCTCCAAGACAAGGAGCTTTGCCTCTTCCCAGAGTTTCCAAAGCCATTCACTGTCCACGCAGAACACACTTGAGGGGCAGTTTGGGATTGCAAGGACACATCCCTGCTGAGTTTCTTGCCAGCATCCCCCAGGCCGTGCAGGATGCGGGAGCCCAGGACGCTGCAGCTGGAGTGGGGGCAGCCCCGGATCCCAACACAGCCAGGGAACAGGAGGCAGCTGGGGCTTGGGAGTGCCTCAGTGCCCCTCAGCAGGGCCAGCCCTCCTCCCAGCGCTGCTTGGAGCCGTCCCTCCGTCTGTCCGCAGCAC